CTCCGCCACTCGGAGCCGGAGGCGCTGGGCAGCCCGTGCTGCCACTCGTCCAGGCCGCGGTTCCGCGTCATCTCGGTGCTGGACCCGCTGCCCAGGGTGGTGGCCTCCGAGGGGGGAGTCCTCGTCTGCGGCGCCCTTCTCCTGCTCCTCCTCCTCCTCCTCCTCCTCGTCTTCCTCCTCCTCCTCCTCCTCCTCCTCCTCCTCCTCCTCCAAAAGGCCGCCCAGGCGCGGGAGGCCACCAGCAAGCGCATGACCAAGAGGAGGACTGCGGCGGCTGCGGCGGCAGCGGAGGCCATGCCAGCGCCCGAGGAGGGCGAAGCCCCAGAGGGAGCCGCCCCCTCAGCCGCTGCCGCCGCCGGCGGGCCTGCAGCCGGCTCCTCCTCGGCCGCGGCGGGCGCCGAGGCCCAGGCGCAGGCCGCTGGGAGCAGCGCAGGGTCGGCTGCAGAGGCGGAGGGCGGCGCCGCCGCGGCCGCCCACGACGCGAAGGTCCAAGGGGAGGCGGCCAAGCTGACGGCGGCGAAGCACGCCGCGGCTGAGGCAACCGAGAAGGCAAGGCCCGCCAGCGCCGAGGCGGCGCAGGCGGGGCCCCGGGCTTGACGGGCAGCGCCCGGCGGCGCGGACGTCGCCGAGGGGCCGCGCGCCCAGGCGCCAGACTTGCCACGCGTTCGAGGGGAAGATCACGACGCTGATGGGGATCGGCAGTCAAATGTCTTTTTCGCCAATGTTGCGTCGTTCGGTGATCAAGCGTGGACTTGCATCATGCAGCACCATGGGCAGCGTGCTTGTGTGGGATGCGTCGAGGCTCACCTCAGCGTGTCGGCCAGACGCAGGTGGGATCGGCATGCTCGCGACATGGGCGCAGGCTGATCTTCAGTTCGGCCAGAGGCCCTGGCCGGTGCCAGGCAGCAGCGACAGAGGAGAAAGCCAACGAGGGTGGCGAGCTCGTCCTGTCGCGAAGGCATCTGCAGGTGGAGGGATTGACGGAGGCTGCAGTTCCAGATGTGTCCTCGCTCCCGGCTGCCAGGCGCAGGGCGGGCCTGCAGATGCGACAATCCACTGTGCTGGCTTCTCCTTGGTACTTGTGATAGTGCATGGCCATAGTTCGATAGGCATGTCTGGCAAGAACCTGGCTAGGTTTCAAAAGACTGGAGCTCTGCTGCTATCTCTTCAGATTCCTCGGGTGGCTACTCGGGACTGGAACTTATCTCCTCAGATGCTTCACGAGTCTGGCTTCGTCTCCCGCGTTCACGGAAAGACACTGGTTCCTCGTGTGCCCTGTACCTGTGATCGAGGTAGTGGTTCTCTGCTGGACTGTTGTATATTGAATGAATCTGCAGTTCCTGTCGTGGTTGGCTGCGAGGCGGTGCTGTCAGTTCCGTGGAGGCCGCATCTGGGATTGGCTGTTACGCTCCGCCGTTCTGGAAGGCAACTTATTACGCGAAGGCTGGACGCACCAAGCCGATTTCCCCAAGCCCCCCGCCCGAGAGCTCTCCCGCAAGAGGGGTCCAAGACCTCGCGCGCCAAGGCTGAGAGAGCCATCCAGACAGCTACAGCCAGACAGCAGCGGGAAGAGTTTGTCGGAGAGACGTTTGGAGAATACATGCAGGGCAAGCAGCCAAGCACTGCTGCTGCCAATGATGAGGGTGCTTCCACTGCACCACCATCGGATGATGATCCGACTATGCAAGCTGAGTCTGAGGAGGAAGACCCTTGGGCGTATGAGAAGGGTTTCGGATCGGTGGTGGAGGCCGCACGAAGCGTGAGTCGTGAGAAAAGCAAGTCGCATGCGCAGCATGAGGTAGCAGGTGCGCAGAGTGAGCCTAGCCTGATCTTGCCACAGTCGAACAGTAAAAAAAATTCGAGCCCTCCTGCCGATTGCGCGCTCGAGTCCCAGGCTGACAAGCCTTCTGAAGAAGGAGCGTCGGAGGTTGAACCCGCTAGTTGTTTCGTTTCTGCCGAGTGCTGGGAGCAGAATCGCCACGCGGTGTCGTTTGCCCAGTGCCGGCACAGTCAGATCCCTCCCCTCTTCCTCGCTCCTGTAGCATGTTGGCTGAATCCTCGGCCAGTGCTGTTTATGTCTTCCTGGTACTCCACGCGGGTGCGAGCCGTTAAGGAAGCTATATGTCGACATTACGGCGTCGCCAACGCCTGCAGGCCCGAGCGGAGATGACGGCTGCAGTCTCGTGATCGAGGAGGCGCGCCAGTCGGCGAGAGGGCGCACGGCGCCGACGGCTGCAGTCTCGTGATCGAGGAGGCGCGCCAGTCGGCGAGAGGGCGCACGGCGCCGCTTCGCGACCAGGCGGCGCGCTGGTGAAAGCGCGCTGCCACGTTGCTGAGAGGATCCAGCTCGGGAGGGGGAGGGGGAGGAGGATAGGCAGGGGGAGGAGAAGGAGGAGGAGGCGGAGGAGGAGGAGGAGGAGGGGGAGGAGGAGGAGGGGGAGGAGGAGGAGGAGGAGGAGGAGGAGGAGGAGGAGGAGGAGGAGGAGGAGGAGCAGGAGAAGGAGGACGTCCTCAGGGAGTTCACAGGCTGTTGCGACCGATCAAGGATGCGAGCAGCCAGAAGCGGGCCGCGGTCATTGCTCGATCTCGAGAGAACTGTCACGCCTGTCCTGGTTGCCTCTGTGGCGCAGGCCCAGAGGCTGGCTCGGCGGGGTCAACGTAGGGCCATCGCTGAGTCCATAGCGGATCTCAAGAAGTCTGCAGCGGGTGTGGCACACCGCCGCATGCGTGAGGAGCCATTACCGCCGCTGGAGGTACTGCAGGATAGTGCAGCCTTGGTCCATCCCAGGGATATCATGGACAGCAAGAGTCGCCATTGGCAGAAAGTATGGGCACCGCATAGCCTGCGCGGAGAGCAGCTGGAGCAGGCGTTCCTGGCGGCGAAGGAGGCTGCTGCCATGGAGCCCCTCTGCCCGATCACAGTTGAGGATGTGCAGAAGGCGGCCCATGGCATAAGGGTTTCCACTGGCATGGGCGTGGATCGGGCGACGCCGATCGACGTGGAGAGGCTGCCGATTGTGGCGCTGCAGGAGCTTGCGGGGAGCTGCTCAATGCCATCGAGCGGACGCTGGCCTGGCCCTACCAGACGCAGCTGATGGCCGGGAAGCTTCTTCCCAAAAAGCTGGACGGAGACTGGGCGATCGGCTCGGTCTCTTTCCTAGGCCGCTTGTGGTCTGCTATTCGGGAACGACACGTTCGAGAATTGTGCGACCTAGTTGAGCACGACTGGGACGCGGCTATAGCAGGGAACACTTCCTTGCGAGAAGCCTTCCATCGTACGCTGCAATAGGAAGCCCCCTGAGTTTTGTGCACCCCGTTTGCCCATGGACTCACTGACAGCAAGGGTTTCCATGATAATATTGAATGGGATTTGTTGGTGTCAAAGTCCCCATCTCTTGGGTACCCTCCAGTGCGCTTATTCCTGGAGCTGTCTCAGTGCACGGCTCCTCGTACGCTGGAGAGAATGGGTGCTGCATGCGATCCTTTCTTGGCCGCCTGCAGGATCATTCAGGGCTTCGGGGGGGGCACCAGGTTTGCGAAATGTATGACGCATTACGTGTTCGCCAAAATTTTTCGGAAACATTCAAGAATTGCACATCGCGTGTAGATCGACGACCTGTCTCGGACAGTAGCGGAATCTCGACGGGCTAGTGCGGAGAAGATGCAGGAATGGATTGCCGACACAGCTGATTCATTGAAGGAGCTGAATGTGTCCATCGCCTCTAAGTCTGCCGTCGTCTGCTCCCACCACCAGGATGCTCGCGAAATAGTTCGTCGTGTTCGTCAGCGGGGGTACGTGGTGCAAGCTACGTTGCAAGCGACTTCCTCGGGCATCGACCAAGGTGGGGGTCGTAGGCTTGCGAGGGCTACCAGGACCAAGAGGGGTCTCAAACATGCGAAACTTCATTCTCGGGTGGTTTATTTTGCGAGGGCCTCCAAGAGATATTCGCCGGCCCAACGGGCCAGAGGCGTGCTAAGATCTCCGGTGACTGCTTTACAATCTTTCTACTTCGCGCGCGCGGGGCGGCCCCTGGGGGCCCCCGGGCGGAAAGTACCCCGGCAAGGTCCCGAGAGAGTCCCGGGAGGAGTCACCAGGGCGCTCCAGCAGCGCACCAACGCGGCTCCGAGACGTCCCCGAGAGCCCCAAGAAGGGCCAAGAGGCTTCCAAGAGGCCCCCAAGATGCTACATGAGGGGTCCGAGATGCCACAAGATCGCTCCAAGACGCCCACGATGGCCCCCAGACGCCCCAAGAGGCCTCCAAGAGCACTCCCGAGAGGGCCCCAAGAGGCAAAATTCACTGCTTTTCCTTAGGTTTTGGAGAGATTTTGGCGTTTCCACCTTTTCGGCTTCACGACACCCCAAGACGGCCCAAGAGGCCCCCAAGACCGCCCCAAGAGGGCCCAAGAGGCCCCCAAGAGGGCCCCAAGACGGCCCAAGAGGGCTCCAAGACGGCCCAAGAGGCCTCCAAGACGGCCCAAGAGGGCCCCAAGAACGCCCCAAGAGGGACCCCAGGGGGGGAACACGAAACAATATTTCGAGCCCTCGGCCCTCAGAAGTCCCCAGGAGGCCCCAAGAGGCCCCTAAGAGGCCCCAAGAGGCCCCCAACAGGCCCTCAGGAGGCCCCCAAGAGGCCCCCAAGCGGCCCCAGGAGGCCACCCAAATGCCCCCCCGAGCACGCAAGCAAGTGCCAGCGACGCTACACTATGGGCCGGCGGAATGAGCGAAGCGATTCAATAATGTGACTTCTAGGCAGGCTGGAGCGTACTGGGGCCCATGGTAACTGCGGGCAGGCCATCCACGGGACCTTTGGGGGGAAGTTGCAACAGTACAGGAGGAGCTTGGCGGCGGTTCGCAGTGCTGGCAGCAAGGATGCCTGTATTACGTCGCTGCTCGCCATGCTCGAAGGTATGCGGGATCCAGGAAACGCTTCACGGCAAGAGGTACTGTACTTGTGGTTGCAGCAATGGTTTCAACGTCCGCAGACCCGACCCTCGGTGCACAGGGCTTGGCCCATGATGCTGCGCAAGTTGGCAGCTATACCTCCCAATCGTCGCTCGAAGTGGGCCAGGCGACCGATGTCGGCTACTAGTATCACGCCGTTGG